TCTCTGGTTTGATATACCATTGAAAATTAATGGAGAGAATTCGGCATAAAAAATGTCAAACCCTGACACTTTAACTATAAAATATACATGCTCCAAGTCGGGAACCTTTACATTAGTGCATTTCACAATTATTTTATGTTTTTTTAGCAAAAAAAGGTCAAAAATTTTTTTTTGCCTCGCTCCGCTCGGCCAAACATTTGATTCTACGCCCCCTCTTTCAAATATCCTAGAAACGCCCCTGACCTCATACAGTTGTTGCAAGGGTTCATAATCATACAGAATGCGTGGCACTCTCTCTGCATGAGGCATCCCTCATTCTGACCACGTTCATAATATATGTACATGAATTCTAAATAAAAGGGGAACGTGTCCATGGGACACAGATGGTACCCCCGCTTACATAAAACATTACAAAGGGACATACCTCAAGAACGGAACAAAGCGACGTTACCCTAATTTGTACTTGATCTGGGTTTTGTGGTTGAATAAGCATTGTGTACAAGTTGCATAACATTTGGTTGAGGCAAACTTCGTTAGAAAACAGAAACGAAAAATTCTAAATAAAATGCTCCGCAGGGCGCAGCTTGATACGACCGCAGAGGTCGAACCCTGAACAGTTGGGGCAAGTATGGACACAACATTCAAGCTTGATACAGCTTTGCATTTGGATTGTGATTAAATATTTGACACAGCATAGGTTTCTGACACGGAATGAATGTGGTCTAAGAACTTAAAAATTTTAAATTGGACATTCACCTATTATGGTCCAATATCCAAAATCTAAATACATGGTTAGATTCAGCATACCAAAGAACCCCAAGAATTCAATTTTTGATGAAATCAAACAAAGTTTAATTTTGGACCCTTTTGACCTCAATGTGGACAAAGTTGATAATGGGGTCCAAAAATCAAAAATCTAAAAACATGGTTAGATTCAGCATATCAAAGAACCCCATAAATTCAATTTTTGTTGAAATCAAGCAAAGTTTAATTTTGGACCCCGATTTGGACCAACTTGAAAACTGGGCCCATAATAAAAAATCTAAATACATGTTTAGATTCAGCATATCAAAGAACCCTAAGAATTCAATTTTTGTTAAAATCAAACTAAGTTTAATTTTGGACCCTTTGGACCTTAATGTAGACCAATTTGAAAACAGAACCAAAAATTAAGAATCTAAATACACGGTTAGATTCAGCATATCAAAGAACCCCAATAATTCAATTTTTGATGAAATCAAACAAAGTTTAATTTTGGACCCTTTGGACCTCAATGTGGACCAATTTAAAAACGGGGCCCAAAATCCAAAAACTAAATACACGGTTAGATTCAGCATATTAAAGAACCCCAAGAATTCAAGAATAAAACCCCATTGAAATTGGTCAAGAAATAAGCAATTTATACGAAGTATCTTCTTTTGCACAATACTGTGCAATTAAATATTTCTTGCTATTGCGCAATACTGTACAATTGACAATTTCTTGCTATTGCGCAATATTGTGCTATTGGATATTTCTTGCTATTGCGCAATACTGTGCAATTGAAGATTTCTTGCTATTGCGCAATACTGTGCAATTGAAGATTTCTTGCTATTGTGCAATACTGTGCAATTGAAAATTTCTTGCTATTGCACAATACTTATTATATAATAATTTACACATCCTGTTTGGTGTGTATCTCCTACCATATCATTATTATTTGCTTTTAAATATAAATCAGAAATAACCAACTTAAAATGGAAAATTTTAAAAGAAAAAAAAAAGGAAAAATAGAAAAAAAAGGAAAAAAAAAAAAATCCCCCCCCCCCAAATTTTTTGAACCCCCTTATGATTCATCACCTCCAAACTCAATCCCAGCCTTCCCTTTGTGGTATGGTACCTTGCAGTACAATTTCAGAGAGATCATCCGGCAAACAGGCAAACAACAGTTCACAAATCACTACACAGTAAGCTTTAGATTGAGCAGCACGACGAACAGTCAAACAACAGTACACAAATCATTACACAGAAAACTTTAGATTGAGCAGCATGACGAACAGGCAAACAACAGTACACAAATCACTACACAGAAAACTTTATATTGTGCTGCACGACAAACAGGCAAACAACAGTACACAAATCACTACACAGAAAACTTTATATTGAGCAGCATGGCCATACACTTGAACACAAGTTATTGTCTGGAAACTAGAAAAATGTGTTTTTTGGCCCCTTTTTGGCCCCAAATTCCTAAACGTTTATGGCAATTACCCCCGAAAGATCCATACACTTACACACAAGTTATTGTCCTGAAACTAGAAAAAAGCTTGTTTTTTGCCCCTTTTTTTGCCCCTAATTCCTAAAATATTGAGGCAATTACCCCCATCATCAATCCCAGCCTTCCCTTTGTGGTATGGTACCTTGCAGTACAATTTCAGAGAGATCCATACACTTGAACACAAGTTATTGTCTGGAAACTAGAAAAATGCTTATTTTTGGGCCCTGTTTGGCCCCTTATTCCTAAACGTTTATGGCAATTACCCCCAAACTCAATTCCAGCTTTCCCTTTGTGATATGGAACCTTGTAGTACAATTTCAGAAAGATTCATACACTTTCACACAAGTTATTGTCATGAAACTAGAAAAATGCTTGTTTTTTGCCCCTTTTTTGGCCCCCAATTCCTAATATTTTGAGGCAATTACCCCCAAAATCAATCCCAGCATTCCCTTTGTGATATGGAACCTTGTGGTACAATGTCAGAGAGATCCATACACTAACACACAAGTTATGTCTGGAAGTTACAAAAATGCTTATTTTTGGCCCCTAATTCCTTAACTGTTGGTACCATAACCCCCAAAATCAATCCCAACCTTCCTTTTGTGGTATTGAACCTTATGGTAAAATTTCATAGAGATCCATTCACTTAAACTAAAGTAAGAGTGCGAAAACCAATGTGTCTTCGGACGACGCAGGACGACGACGACGACGCCAACGCCAACGTCATACCAATATACGACCGCAAAAATTTTGAGGTCGTATAAAAATGATATCATATGCATTTACGGATAGAATCAAGAGTCCTACATTCAACATTAGGTTGAGCGCTCACAAACATGTTTTATTTCTGGCAAGGATTCATATCATGTTATATTATGATAATGCTGGTCATTTCTTATTTTCCATGTTAGCATCGTGTTTTGCAGAAATGCTTGAAAAAAATTGACATGATCAATGCCACTTTCGACCATTTAGCTTCAAGGGAGGGTTATGGTTTTTTCCTGAAAAAATATTCTGATCCCCAACTTGATGAAAAAAAAAATTGTGGTCAAGCAGATGACAAAAAAAAAAAATTCTGAATCCAGATTTTCCCCAATACCTTAAATAGTGTTAAATTTTGAAAAAAAAACATTTGATTGATAGAGTCGAAAAACTAAAAAAAAAATTCTGACTCAGACAAAAAACCATAAACCCCCCTTGAAGTTAAATGGTTGCTCCCCAATACTATTTTTTAGGTGGTAGACCAATCTTAAATGGGAGGTGCTTAGTAACTATTAAATTTTCCACAGAAGCCTAGCTTATTCAATAAATGCACTTTTTTGCTGCTACAATACACCATTATTTATTTTTATTTATACCTATCTTTAACAAAGTAAGGTATAACATGCTTAATATCTTATGTTTTCTCATGTTTAGATTCTGCATAGATAATAGCGAAAAATCCAAGTGTTTGTTAAATACGACCTCAAATTCAGAATGTTAACAATATATACTTCATCAAAATTGGACTTCATGCCCTGTTTTGTTGGGAAAAATATTGTAGACAATTACTCTGTAGAATAATATAAATTATCGCTAGAGTAAGATATCATTTGTAAGGGTTGGTTTGGTGGAAAAGCTATCTCTTTTTAGTATCAGGAAAGAAAGATTTGCCAAAATTGCACTGTGGCAGATGTAACAGCGGTAATGTCAGAATCCCTACTAATATAGAACATTGACCAAATGAGCTTAATACTGGTCACTAGAGCATACAAATGATGTCAACTTCAGCTGACAAGGTCTTGTTAAGAACCACAATCAAATACTTCTGGTAAATATTAGGAAGAAGAGGTAATAACATATACAAGTCTTTGCAATTTTTTTAATACCAGTGCGTCCAAATATCTTGCGTGTTTTGCTTCCTACTTTTAACAAAAAAATTGTTGATAAATGAATCTATCATCTTTCAAAAATTAAGAATACAAAAATGTTCCCTGGTGTGCTTCTTTTTATTTGAGCTCTTTAAGCACAACTGTCATTTTGTGTTAACTAAGACCACAATTAGTAGTTAACACTTTATGTAAAGATTTCAACTATATCCCTTTTCAAATAAAGTATAGAAGACTATTCTTTAGGTCATGATCCAGTGCTTTTGGAATTTCTACCAAGTTCAGTTATCTGATTAGGTGTTTTTATGAAAAAGTACCTACTGCACTTATGATAGAACTTTATTATTTGTGTGCTGATGCATAGTATCCAAGAACTTTAATATTTGTGTGCTGATGCATAGTATCCAAGAACTTTAATATTTGTGTGCTGATGCATAGTATACAAGAACTTTAATATTTGTGTGCTGATGCATAGTATCCAAGAACTTTAATATTTGTGTGCTGATGCATAGTATCCAAGAACTTTAATATTTGTGTGCTGATGCATAGTATCCAAGAACTTTAATATTTGTGTGCTGATGCATAGTATCCAAGCATTTAATTCTAAGCATATGTGGCTCCACTCATTCAGCCATGCTTTGTAACTCTCTATCTTCATTTATTCCCGCTTTGTTATAATGGAACTTCCATATCTTAAAATAACATCTTAATAGTTAATGTTTGTGTGCTGATGCATAGTATCCATGCATTTCATTTTAAGCACAACATGAGGCCCCACTCCTTCAGCCATGCTTAGTATTTACTTTCTATCTTAATGTATATCCTCTTTGTTATAAGAAACTTCCATGTCTTAAAAATACAACTTAACAACTAAGTAATTGTTAACATTTATTTTATTGATGTAATTCTTTCTATCAGATACAACTGAATTCAACAAAGACATGAACAATTTGATTATTGGGACCTTTAATTGTTACAGATCAGTTTTACTCAGACTAGAAAATTTCATAACAATTATTGAACACAATGTTGTACATTTGTAGTATGAGTTTATAACAGCATATGTGACCTATGAACAACTTAACATATATCCTAAGATATTCTAATATAGACTTATCTGAACAGTACTGATAACTTCTACAAGCAGTATAACTAAACCATTGAAAGCTCATATGTTGATTTCAATCACATGATTTTCTTGTACAAGGAAATCCTGTCTTGATGGTAAGTTTTGCTGGTTCTCTCTTGAAATTTCAAGATATTTGTAAAAAAAAAATAAAAAAAAAATAAAGCCATAGGGTATCAATTGATATTCCAAAAGGTAGAGAGTGGCATTCTGATGGTTTTCAGGGTGATTGGTCCTGTAGATTTAAAAGGAGAAGATTTTTAAACAGTTAATACCTGACAACCACAACAGAAGCCAAGTGATGGCTCACATGGACCTTTTGTTTCTGGTGAGCCCAAAATGTATGTGTGTAATTGATTGAAAGCACCTGTTGTTGTTGTTCTATACAACATCTGTACATTAATAGCAGACAATAAAAACTTAGTGCAAAAAGTTCATTGTTGTTATGTTTAAAACCATGTATGTGAACTTTCAGAAGTGTCTTTATACTACTAATAGTGAACTTTTAGAGGTATATTTATACTACTAATAACAAATTTAAAAAAAAAACTTAATATAAAGCACATCAATATTTACTTTTAAAAAGATTTTTCAAAGACACATCTTGCAGTGATTGTTAAATTTTAAAACATGCAATCAAATTTTACTTACTTGTGACAGTGGTGTAAATAAAAATTTGAAATTCTATCAAAAGAATACAAATCAACTTGAAAAAAGCATCTGTTTTCCTGCAGATACAGAAACAACAAGAAATAAAATTTGAAAAGGACATCCATTGTCCAGATAGTAAAAAAATATATATCAACAACCACATATGTATATATATTTCCAAAATTATCAAAATAGTATACTAGTAAAAACATTTCAAAAGATTTAATAACTTTGTTAGCTAAATAAACCCAATTCACCAAGTGTTGGTTAAGAAATTTAATATATAAATAAAATGTGTTCATTACTCTTAAAAAATATCATGTGGCAGATACATTTCAAACCTTGTACAAATTAAATGAATGCATTAGTCCTGTATTGCTTTATATAGATTTTTACAAGAGTCTGCAAGCCAGAGAAGGCAGCCCCCAAAAAATAGACTGAGGTAAATCAAATTTGGTAAGCTTGTCTAGGACCTTTAAACAAACAGACACTTTTGGCAATATTTAAACAAATGAACTGCATAGACATATAATTCTGCACCATCAACTCTTGCATAAGGTAATACTTAAAAAAAAAATACTGAGACATTTATTCATATAATTTTATATGTAGGTTGGGCGAAAAAACCATGTGCATTTATAGTCACCAACTTAGCAGACATTAATTTTTTTCATTTTTTTTGCCCGATGATTAAATTACAAAATGTTGCAAACAGTTCAATATCAAGAACTGACCAATAATTAAACTTCAATGAGTTATTCATATAATAAAATTACATTACAAAAGTAAATGAAAAAAAAATTATTTCAATTATTTTCTCCAGATTTCGCATATTTTATTTTATCATAACTAATGTGTTTAAATCCGTTATGGGGTGATGAAAAATATCATTAATTTTTGTAAAATATAAAAAAAAAAAATTAAAACAACAACATGATTAACAATGGTTTAAAATAGGTAGAGTTATCTTACACATTGAACACATTTATATATATAATGAATTGTTTTTTTTAAAAATGAACACAACAGAATTTTATGTAAAATGCCCAACAAATCTGATGAATTAAATAAAATGAAATTAAAAGTTAAAAGATGAATTAAAATAATATCTGGCAGTGTTAAATGAATTTGATTTTATCAACGAGAAAAAGTCTGCAGTTTTTAAAACTGAAAAACAAAAGTTAAACCAAATTAGTGAACACAATTAGGCAAAACATAAAAATTAAGGCAGTGTTAAAACTATACAAAACTGATTAAATACTGTAACAAGCAAAAGGTTAATTTTTGTAGGGCTATACATCTGAGATCATTTTCCATTGAAAACAAACTAATACAATTATTTTACTACACCCTCTGTGACTCAAGACATTTTTTTTCTATCATCATTTTTTTTTACAGATTTCACTTATATGTACAATTATAATTTCAAATCTTCTAGAACTTTATTATCTAATATAAACTACTTGTTTAATTTAAAAAAAAAACAAAAAACCACCAGAAATGCAAAATGAGCCACCGAGGGTCTAATTTATGTGCATGTATATTTTTGTAATTATCTGCTGCATACCATAATTAGATTAATTGTATGGTAAGCAGTTTAAAATCAATTTACCCCAAAATCATTAATACACACATCTTGTACATCGAGATAAAATACCAGCTGATCTTTTAAAACTTTTCTGCAACCTTCATGGCTTTTAATACAGCTATTTGCAAAACATAAATTCAATTTCAAGGGGTTAAAAGTGTGATGTTACTATTTAATCAAAATCAACCAAATGGACGGACAAAACTACAACCTTATACATGTTAAGTAATATTGTAAGTATACTTTAAATTCTTATGCAAAATACAATTGGGTATAATTGTAATCACTGTAATTACAAATGTCTTCTGTAATTATACATAGGAAGAATATGGCCCATGAAACTGTTTGCAAGTAACTTGCTATAATTTTTTATTGAAGATATTTAGTAAAATAATAATTTTTTGTTTCAATTAACCATATTAAATGAGGCAAAACTAATGAAATGTTCTCAAATGTATCAGAATTTGAACTTTAAATTTTTTAAATGACATGTACGTTGAAGAAGTGATATTCTTAGATTTTTATGCAATTTCTTTCCTCTTCAGATGAAATTTGTTTCTGAACTTGAATTGATCAAAAATTATTAAATTCCAAATACAACAGAAAAAGAAACCACTATTAAAAGATATAGGAAAGTTTTGTCAATGACACAGGTAAAAGAAAGTTTTCATCAGAACTGGGCTCCTAACATTTATATAACAGTTCTAGTATAAAAAAAAACAATTATGTACAAAAATCACAAAAGAGGAGCAACATTGATACATAAGGTTTTAACAAGTGAAATAAAAAGTAAGCAACAGATGGCGTCACCTTGCCATAATTTAACAATGAACACAAAGAGAAAACATTTACATCATTGTCAAGTCTAAAAATAAACTCTGTACTTCAGAATCATAAAATTTATTAATTGTTAACAATATATGCATCAACATAATTATACATACTGGTCATATATATATATATACACCAAGAGGTCCAGAATTGGACCATAATTACAAAATACTTTGTTCCATTGCATGATTTGTACCCGATTTGACACAGGCTGATTCTGTTTTGTTTGATTTATCATTTGTAACTGGCTTTGCACCATTTTATTTAAGTGTTATTTGTTTTGAATTTGACAATCATTAAACATTTGAATGAAAACATTCTATTTTTAACTGACTAACCGTTTTCAATCAGAGATATCGAAAAGAAAAAAAAAGGAATTTGAAAGTTAACAAATTAACCTCTACTTTAATTCCTTTATTAATCACAAGTAATTCATTGCATGAACAAGTTAAATATACATCTTTTTCTTGAGAAGACAGAAACATGAACATTTAATTTTTTGAATACACAGGTCCTAGTTTACCATAGTTTATATTTCTAAAAAATATTTTTTCTAATCGATATTTATTGAAATGTATACTAAGGTAACTGATGTATAACCAAAGACAAATATAAAATTGTGTATAATGTTACTAAGTATGTGCCAATAAAAAACATTTGTTTTTACTGTTCCTGCATTCCTACTTACAGAATGATAAAACAGACAAAATTATTTTGACAGTCCTGTCTTGTTAGCTTCACTTCGTTGTAAAATTTAGTCTAGAAAATGTGGAGAAAAAAATGCAAATTTCACAGATTTTAATTATAAAACATTTTTTTGCAGTAAAAAAATTATAAAAGTTCATTATAAAATCAAGTAAAATTCAAATCAAAATTTCTGTATTTCAATAAAACATAGTTGTACCTCAAGACAATAAAGGCTTCCATTTCACTTCCTCTAGCAGAATAAACAGATAAAGAATGAAATTAAGTGACAACTCCTCAAGCTGTAGTTCTGAAACATTAACCCATGATCTATATATAGAAAACTCAATGGGCTTGCTACTAGGTTACTAAAATGGAATGGCCTTACAATGACTTGAAATAAGTTCATGTACAAATCATGATTAAACATAATCCTGATCAAACACAAATCACATAAATAATCACTGACAAATCAGACACTGGATTTCTAATAGTACTTCTTTGTCTTTGGTGTCAATGAGGTTACAACATTTCAGCAACAAAAACCCGTCTTTTTTGTTCACTGTAGCACTTATTGTAAAAACATGAGATTGAATAAAATGGTTGTCTTCTTTGAACACATCAAGAATAATCCAATATTCTTTGAACACACTGTGGCAAATAAGTCCATTTTTTAATCTCCTTTATAAAAGAGTTACTACATATTAAAACACTTGCTCAAGTAACAAGCTGAGAAAAAGAAAATTGGCACATGCTGTTTTTTCGTCTACACAATGTGGAAGACATCCAGATGAATGAGATTATGAAACAATCGCTGCCTAGTTGTATGAGACACAGTTGTCAGTGAATGCCTCGTACATGAGAGAGACTATGATATGATGGGATGTATACTGTTACATTCATGAAGATTCTGAGTCTGTGCTATTGCTCGTTACATCGTAATTACTTGAGCTACGAGACATAGAAGAATACTGGCTATCTGACATACTGGTTGGACTTTCTAGTGGTTCTAAATCTAAATATTCCTGAAAAAAATAAATTACATAACTAAAGATTTTTTTTTTTTAAATATAGATAATACATCCAAAGAGTTCTAGTTTTGTAAAGTTTAACAGAATACACATACAAAATTAAACTGACAATTGTAAAATACAGACATGTATTTGAAAACAAGCTTCATTAAGTAAATATAAGTATGTCTCCTTTGATATATATTCAATAAAAAAGTTTTAAGTGAATGGCAAAACACCAATTTATGATGACATGAATTGATAGAAAAGAGCTTAATTATAATCATAAACTTTAACACCTTTTTTTACACTCCAAAAGCCTCAATATGAGATAAGTCAAATAGCTGAACTTAGTTGGTGCAATTTACTTCACCCACTACTTTTTATTTTAATAAGTTTAATAAAGTATTATACTCTTCAATGATGATTGATACAGTAATACAACTCTTCATTATGAACTGTAAATATTTGTTCACATCATATGCCTTGTTTCATCAAGTTCTAGCTGTTTGTACATCTTTATAGAAACGATTTAACCATAATAACCACTTTAGCTATGTTAATGCATTTGAAACAATCACATCATTTAAAAATTTGGTTAATAATTCACCTGAATTAAACCATTTATTAATTTGGTTTGAGGGGTTGCCATAAAAATTGACATTACGCCTGCCAGTGCTGAAGTAAAACCCTGCTGGAACCCTACCATGCCATAACCCAATATAGTGTTCTTAAGACATCTCAGTTTGATTTTATAAGATTATGGTCAATGGCCTTTCTTTCCCCTTGCAGTTAAGGTCATCTTTTTTCTTACAGATTTTTAGTTTTTTTTGGTAAGAATTTCATCATATTGCAGATTAAATACTTACTTCACCTCTGTTTGCCATAGACGTCAACATTTTATCTAACTCATTAACAAGTTTATTGAAAGATGGTCGCCCTGATGGATACTCATGCCAACAGAACTGCATCATTCTATTAATTTCATCCGAAGCATATGGAGGTTTCTCCATTCTATGACCTTCTTTTAAAAGTTCAAATAATCTTTCTACAGGTACAGAAGGATAAGGATTTCCTCCGAGTGTAAATATCTCCCACAACAGTACACCATAGGACCAACTACAAATAAAAAACATTTAACATTATTATCAACAAAGATAAATATTTTTTATGAACAAATGAGTAACGCAAAAACATGTTTCATTTCAACAGTTTTTGCCAAATTTAGTCTACTTACGGGTCCAAAAATCAGTCATTCATAAAATGTCTTTTAAATTTATATGGCTTGTGAGGCCTCTTTTTAGAAAAAATTTTACTGCCGTAGGGCCTGCAATTTAAATTCGTAAAGACTGTGTCTATGATATACCATACAATATATAACAAGATGAATTAAGCAGTACTTTGGCCTAATGGTTCTTTGTAAAACTTTATCTCAAGACCATCTTCATCATGTTTCTTATGTTAAAACAAACTAAAATAAAATCATGTTAACCAGTTTTCACCTTTTTAAAAGTCTTTCTTGACAGCAAAGTTGCATCCTCTGTTCAAAACTATTTTCTTTTTTTCTTTTGTTTTATCTTCAATTTTTGGCACTATTTTTATTTGTTCATGTTTTTAACACAATCAATAACTTTATATCTTTCTATTACAGTAGACTCCACCTAATCGGATATCGGCTAAACGAATATATCGGCTATTGTAATATTATTTCAAAACACCAAACCCTTCCCTATATGTTTAATGTTAATTTTATCGTGTAATCGAATATCGGATATAAGAATATATCGGCAAATCGGATAAGAATATTCAGGTCATTTTGTTCAAAACCATGCACAATCGGATATTTTCAATGTTTTTCTGACAGGAAATGGACCCGGAAGTTACGAATTTACATTTTGCAGACAAGAAGATTTTGTTTTTACTAAATAAAAGGAACTACTAGTATTTCTTAATAAATTGTTGTCTTTAATCATTGTCTTCCTTTGTCATGTGAATTAGATGCCCTTTTACTTCAAATGGTTTAAATATATTCATAAAATATGCAAGACTCAGTTGACGTTGCTGTTTGGAGAATTTTGATCAAACTCTAAATGTTCACTGAATCAGAAATATAATCTAAACTGAATGTACCTCCTTCTGATTAATTTATTGCAATATAAATAAAAATCCCTTTTGACAAGAGAAATCTGACTTTTGTCAGATATATTTTTTTCACATGTGCAAAAGTAACCACATGTCATGGACGCCATTTTGGATGTTTACAAATTTGTGAGGAAGCCTCTAGAACTATGACCTAAATATAAATAGTCTTCAGAAAACGTAAACTTTATGCAATAATATTTTATCAATCATGATTATTTTCATAAATTTTAATTTGATTATTTAAAGAAATAAAATTATAACAAATACGATTTTAGTTTGGAGATTCTACACAGACATGCTTAGATCTATTTATAGCCAAATTAGTTTACCTGTGTGATAATGTAAATAATGGATATTAATTTGCTTACAAAACAAATAAAGACAAACTATGGATGGTAGATAATAATTCACATAAATATTTCAGGACATTCGATTTATTTTAATAAATAAAGGATTTAAAAACTGAAAACAAATTTAATCATTACATAATCAGCTGATAATTTTTTACACAAACATCGTGGTGATGTAACTGATAAAAATCACTCCATCAATCCTCCAGCCCTTTCACATATTTAGCAATTGTCAGGGTTAGTAACATCTCAGGATTATATCTACTCATTATTGCAGAATATTCAATGAATATACATTCATCGTCTAATTGAATATATCGGGTAATCGGATATTTTTAGCTGACATTTTGGGTATCCGATTTGCCGGAGTCTACTGTATAATGGAACAAAATTTAACATGCATTTTTGTATGGAAGTGAAATGAAATTTTTTAGTAGTATGAATAACTTACACATCACTCTTGGAAGTATATTTTCTGTCAAATAATGCCTCTGGAGCCATCCATTTTACTGGTAGACGACCCTGCAATAAATAAACATCCATTAATACTAATCAATTGATAGCTACTTAAAATCCAGTGGCAAGTATTACATGGATATTTTATTTTGTGTTTAAAATGATATGAATTTACCATAATTTGTGCTGGACTGGTACACTGAGCTTTATAATTGATAGTTAACAAGGTAACAGTCTAGTGGAAGACATGTCAACCTACACAAACACAGTATTTAAACTCTTGAGTCTAATCTTCTTTCTTTTACTCCTAAATGCTGTGCTTGTTACAGCAGCAGCATATGCTTCTGTTTTGAGCTTGCCGTGGATTTAACATTACACCTCCGAAATTCAAGTTGCAAAATTTAAAAGTTCTTTTATATATACTAAGAAGTATTTCACATCAATGTTTATAAAAGAACTTCCGATAATTTTTTAATATACGGCAATAAAAGAATTCAATTTCAAGTATTCTGTTTTTTAATCTGTTCCAACTTTCGACCTTTTTACAGCATGTTTTACTGTGGATTCATGGCTATTTCTGGGGTATTCATTTTAATGAATTTGTAGAGAAAAAATGAACCATGAATTAAATATTCCAAAAAATACCAATCTGGCATGTTCACAGAATTCCTAGAAACCATGAAACCAAGTAACCACAAAAATAATTAGATCTTAAGGTGAATTTTTTGAGATTTTGATAAAAGAATATTCAAAAACATGGTATTATTAAAGAATGTCTTACATCTCCAGTCTTTCTGTAATAATCCACATTGGTCAGATTTCTGGTCAAACCAAAATCTGCTATTTTTAGTACATAGTCTTCAGCAACTAACACATTTCTTGCAGCTAAATCTCTGTGAATGCACTGAAATAAATAAACAAAAATTAATATATCACATTCAAACTTGAGCTCTTGTAGTATACTGTCAGAAATCAATACACTTAAATAAAACAAAAGCCCATCCAGGAATGAGTGCTATTTTATTACTTATTCATTCACTATATAAGCAATCATAAAGTAGTATTTTTTTTTTCCAATTCAAGTTGACAAAATATATTTTTTTTTCAGTTTAGCTTTTTACCTAAAAGGAACTTAAGATACTAATTCAGAAAAACTGTGAGTAAGTATAACAAATTCATTTCCTTAATCTCCCATATGATATGGCAAAGTTCCTATTTTTCTTTGCAAACTCCAAAAATTCTTTCAGATAAAAAATATGCACAGTATCATTGAAGTCCTATAGATTTTCTATATGTTTCAGCTTTGGGAAGATCTAAACAGAAACAATCACTATACAGTCCCAATCTTTACCAATGATGGTATAAAAAGTTAAACCCTTATATTTTAAATTAAAGAATAAATAAGTATTAAACATCTAATATCATTGAAGTCCTATAGATTTTCTATATGTTTCAACTTTGGGAAGATCAAGTAAAGAACAAACAAACAGACACAATCACTATACAGTCCCAATCTTTACCAATGATGGTATAAAAAGTTTAACCCTTATATTTTAAATTAAAGAATAAACAAGTGTTAAACAACTAAAACTTTTCATATAAAAAGTATTATTTTAAATCTAACCTGTCTTGACGCAAGGTATTCCATTCCTCTAGCAATCTGATATGCAAATGATATCAAGTCTTTTTCTGTTAATGGTCTGGAAGAGCCCTTTTCAAGCCCCGGCTTTTCGTATCCTGCAGAATTAGGCGGTCTTCTTGACCTCAAAAAGTCTCGCAAGTTACCATGTGGCGCAAATTCAACCAATACATATAGAGGTCCTGAAATTATACAATTTTAAGACAATCTGAAATAAAGTTTCTTCAAAGTTTTCAATTAAAATTGATTATCCCAAAATTGACAATGGAGAAAACACAATACTAAAACATTATCATGTATTTATTATATATGAAAAATTACAAAAATTTCATGGCTGTCTTACTACAAATGTCTGTTCTGCTGACAATGCACAAATGCAAATTGTCTATTTATTCTTGTGCTGATAAGTTGCGTCGACATTTCTTCCTTTGAGACCTATAGCTGGTGTCCTTACAAAAAATCCAAACCTAGAACAACATTTCAGATCACATTTGACCTTTATAGTACACCACTTACCATTTTGAGTACAACATCCAAGTAAATTAATGATATTTTTATGGCATCCTATTAATTTCATCACTTCCATTTCTTGTATTAGATCTGTCAATTCTCTATCAGTTGCATCCTCTGAAATATTTAAATTAAATTGGCAATTATTAACAGATGAGACAATTGGTCACATTCAAAAATTATAATTATAATTTGTCGTATGCCAACTACTTTTTTGTATAATTATTAAGTATACTGAAGTATTACAATATTTTTTCAGTATTGAATATGTTTCACAGACTCAATTCCCCTTTGTATTAATAAACTTAGAATATCATTTTAAAATAAATGTGGATAGTGTCCACATGTGGACACAGATGATGCCCCCGCTTGCATATCATAAAGTTATAAAGGGACATAACTGAAGAACAGTAAAAGTGACGCTACCCAAATTTGAACTTGATCTGAGTTTTGTGGTAATAAGCATTGTGTGTAAGTCTCATAACATTTGGTTGAAGCTAACTTAAGTAGAGAACAGAAACTAAAAATTCAGCAATTTTTCTATTTGTAAACATGCATAACTCTAGAATGGTTGTGTATAAGTTTTATAACATTTGGTTGAGACAAACTAAAAAATTCAGCAATTTTTATGTTCATAAAGGGACATAACTCAAGAATGGTAAAAGTGTCGCCACCAAATTTCGTACTTAATCTGTATTATGTAGTAATAAGCATTGTGTATAAGTTTCATAACATTTGGTTGAGGCAAACTAAAGTTAGAAAACGGAAACAAAAATTTGTACTTGATCTGAGTTTTGTGGTAATGAATATTGTGTATAGGTTTCATAATGTTTGGTTGGGGCAAACTTAAGTTACAGAATGGAAACTAAAAATTTTGCAATCTTTCAATTTATAAAGGGGCATAACTCAATAATGGTTAAAGTGACACTACCCAAATTCAACTTGATCTGTGTTTTATCAGTGGAAGTCAAAATTAAACATTGCATTGTATAAAGCATTGATTCTAGTTGATTCAACTATAATCATGGACAAAGGAAGATAACTCCAATTTTAAAAATTACTTGATATTTAGAAGAAAATAAAAATTTTGCAATTTTTCCATTTATAAAGGGGCATAACTCTAGAACGATTAAAGTGACGCCACCAAAATTCAAACTTGATCTGTGTTTTGTGGTAATAAGCATTGTGTATAAGTTTCATAACATTTGGTTGAGGCAAACTTAAGTAAGAGAACGCAAACTAAAAATTTTGCAATTTTTCCATTTATTAAGGGGCATAACTCTAGAACGGTTAAAGTGTCCCACCAAAATTCAAACTTGATCTGTGTTTTATGGTAATAAGCATTGTGTATAAGTTTCATAACATTTGGTTGAGGCAAACTCAAGTTAGAGAACGGAAACCAATTTTGGGACGTACGGAAGGACGGACGTACGTACAGACGGACAAGGGTAAAACTTAATGCCCCCTCCGCTACGGCAGGGGCATAAAAAACCTGCAAGTTTTAAAATGTTCCAATGAAAACAAATATGATGAAAAATTTATTTCCCCAAAGTTCATGCTAGTCTAATAAATAAGAATGCTTATGCAAAAATCCAGTTTTCATTAATATTATTTCAAAAGTAAATTTTACCCTTCAACATCTTGACTGCTACGGCCGTTGTTGGAGCTTTATTTAATCCAACAGCTTCTGCTTTCACTACCAGACCGAATGCTCCTTCTCCAAGTGGCTTTCCAAGTGATAACCTACAAATATAAATGAAGTATTCCATCACTTTTATTTAGATACTGAGGTACTGAGTGATACAACCATAACAACTTATGTAAACCATTCTATTAAATGAGCCCAGATTTTCAGGGTTTATGAACAATTTTGTCATGAGACAATTGTTCATTATTGTGCTTTTTTTTTTATCAAAATTTGAGTTAGTTATTTCCAGTATTCACAAAAATACCAGAAAATGAAGTTTCTCACAAAATATCATGTGAGTCCATCATATACTAAGTAATGTCAGACATGAAACAAACAGATTTTAGAGAATTTCCTGTAATTTGTTAAAAATACTTCAGACTGCAGTGGTGACATCTCTTTGTCTACTTCCTTAATATTCTACAACCTGAAGACCCATCAAAGCTTAGTTCATTTAGAGAACTTGTTCAATCATACAGCTTTTGTTCAAAGAAACAATCTTGATGCAGGTAACAGTAAGCAATGCTATTTGTGGGTCAACAGATATCAGTTAAAATGTCAAGAGTCAATATGTCTATACAGTTGAATTATTTTCATGGATTGGTCAGTGTGGTGCTATTCCTTACTTTTCTCTTCCAAATTCCCAGTGTTTATCAAGAGGGAGATCATACTCTGACATCATGGTCAAGTCTGATGATAAGCGTCGTCTTGGACCAGGTTCAATTCTAATTGTTGGTAAAACCAGTGGTTGTGTGCCATCATAAGACTTGTCTGGATAGTAAATCTCATTCTGGAAGTAAATTTAAGATTTTCTGTAATGTAATTGCAATGTGTAATTTTGTAAAATTAACCAACATCTAAAGCACACAGACTTTTTACTATAAATAATCAAGTCTAGATACACATGATACAAGGCTGTCATTAATATTGAAAATAAAATGAAAAAAACTAACATAAACTTCCTTAAAACTAAGATTTTGTCTGGATTAGATATGTGTCTTTTTTACATGATCTCACCATTACTCACAGTTTGGTTTTGTTTTCATAATTTAATAATAATTACCTTCTAATCATTGATGAACATTTAATGAACCTCAATAATTTTTTTTTTTTAAGACTTTCTTTGTAACTTTGACATGGAATTGACAATTTCCCTATTTCACTTCTTAATCATAATGTGCACTTGTATTTTCACTTACCAACAATAAATTGTTTGAAAAGTGAAACTTACCTGTCTCATGACAATTACTCTTTTGACATTTCTGTATTTGCCTGATTGTACCCTCTTGTAACGTTTGTAACATATAAACACCAACAGTAACAAGATGAGAACGACGACTGATGTGACCCCAGCAATGATGTAGATAACTACTCTTTCTTTACTGTTTGTCTCTCCTGACCTACTAGCTACTGCTTCTGCTTGTTTATCTACAATAACAGTGAAAGCATAAATAGTTAAATCCATTTTTTTTTAATTCTAGTATTTTGAAGTCTTTTAATTTTGTAAAAGTGAAATATTAATGTTTGAAAGGATATACTAAATTCTATGTAAACCCAGTAGCTGATTTATCTGTTATTAAAAGTATAACTATTCCAATCCATTTTGGGAGGATTCAAGACAGCATGAAATGGTTTGTTATATTCCTGACTGTGTAGAGGAATTTGCCAGAATAAAATGGTTTTGATAATTCATTTTCATGGTACCTCCCATTTATATGAGTCTATAATAAAATTACTGATAAAAAATTGTGTCAACATTGATAATCACTTACTACTAATGAATTTTTTTTTCAAATAAAATATTTCATTCTTGCATTGATGAAAAACAAAAAAAAATGCCTTCTAACCTAAGCCTTTACCTATAACTGTTAGCCAGGCACTCTGATAATCTCTACCAAGTGGATTAGAAATCAAACAAGTATACCATCCAGCATTATCTTTTGTTACATTCTTTATTATAAGTATTTCTGGTTGACTAACATTCACCATGGATTGCTAAAAATTCAAATAAAACACATAAACAGGTTGAGAATATATCTTGTTAACAAATGTTTTAGAAACAGAGAGTAATAAGAGATTTTGTCATTAAACCTAAAAGCTGTAAGCCTAAAGTAATTAAAAAACATTTTGATAAAGTTATTAATTATTCAATAGCTGTTTCATACATTGATAACAGTATCGCTGAAACCACTCTGCCAAACTAGTGTCAATACACTCACTGTGTGATGATAACGCTATAAAAAATTTAACCAATCAAAACCAATTAAATAGTTTTAAAAGTTTAGGATCCTGTATTTACAAATAAGTAATTTTTTTTACTTTTAGTTTACAAGTTATAATTACAATTATAATGGAAATAGTATTTCAATATATATAATATTAATAACATTAAAAAGCCAAATAAAAAAAATAATTAAGATAAGAAATTATCAAGAAACTAAAAAAAGTAAATAAACTATTTCAATACACTAGACAACGATTAAAATCACATTCTTTTTTAAGTCACATGGGATGTGTCATGCAGTCAGCTTTTTTAAAAGTTAGTACATACAATTGTGACTTTTTAAGAGCAACTGATTTTTACCTAATGTAAGGATTTTTGTAAAATTATAAACAGTTATCTGGGAAGACAACACTGATGACTCATGCAGCTAAAATAAATTGATCATTTTCAAGATAAGCATGCAAGGATTCTCCTACAATCCTTTCTTCTGGCTTAACAGACATAAGGAATTAATTTTTAAGAAACATTCACATAAAGATCATTCAGACACACAACAACTGTGAACATTTCATAACTCAGTGTGATTTTTTTCAAGCTGCATATCTGAGTGTGAAATTTACACTCTTTTACTTTAATCTAATATACACTACCTTTTGTCCCTGTAAACATTAGAATTTAAAGAGTTAATAATGTGGTTGCTTCCCTTTGACCAGTCAAAGAGAAATGTACAATTAACATAATGCAGATTACCATCTCTAGGCTTGAGGTGGCTGTTGAATCACTGATAAGGTTTTTCTCAGAACAATAACAGAAGCACTTATACAAAGATGGAAATCTTTTTAATTTAAGGAATATATTTCCCTCATGCAAAGCTCCGATTCCTTGTCCGGAAATGACAAACCTTTTGGTCCTTTTTTGTTTTATCAGCTCTTTAATGGTTCAGCAAGATTTGGTTATTCAAAAATTTTGGCCTCGAACATCACTAAAGAGACATTTATTGTCGAAATGCAAATCTGGTGCAGTAAAAGTGTTACCGCTTTATAAGTTTTTGAATTTTTCTCCTTTCTATTTTCTGACCTCTTTGAGCACCAATTTTTCCCATAAAGAAAAAGGTAGCAATAGTTTAACACTGGACAATTCAACTATCAATTTATTGTTTGCTTTTGAAAATCTATCTTCATAAGGAAATATTAAACATTCTATGCATAAGTGGATAGATTTTATATGCCTTGCAGCGAGATACTTTTAAATTCTAACACAGCTCGCAAAGATGGAAATTCGAAAAAAAAAAGGATTTTTGCATCTTTTTATTTCATCCAAATGATATTTACCTGTATAATGTTGACATATGGCTGTCCTTCATCATCTCTATAAGAACCATTGACTGTGTAGTGTTGTAACCACTGTGTATGGTGCTGTAGGTCATTTCTTAACACTTTACATTCAAACCTAGCATCACCCCCTGCTTGGACTGTCTGATTTGTTGGTCCCACAATTACTGGTTTTGTAATTCTGCTCACTGAAAATATATTAATATAAAGATAAGTTCTTTAAGGAAATGACTTTCAAAATAACACTCATTGTGCAATAATAATAATAACAAATTCACAATCACAAAAACTTAATTCTTTTTGAACAACTGCTTATTAATGAAATGGTATTGTGGAATTATTTATTTCCATTGACATCAATGTTGGTGGTTAAAGAAAACATTTCTATTTTCAGGATATTTGATCTCATAATTTTATTATTTGCTCCTAATCATAGAGCATAAAAATTTGATTTTCTTGAGTTTAAATATTGATATAAATTCCTAGTTTTCCCCTAAGTCCATTTATAAGTAAAATACAGATAAACAGGATTTTTTTTTAAACAAAATTGACTTTTTGAATACTATCTTATGATCACAAACAAGCTTCTGTCCAAGTGTTGTACAAATCCAGGATAGTTTAAGAAAGTTATTAAAATTTGAAAAACTTTAACCACAGAGTGAATGTAATGTTAACTGGCAGAAAAACTAAGTCCATTTATGAGTAAAATACGGATAAACAGGATTTTTTTTTACAAAATTTACTTCTGGTTACTATCTTATGATCATAAACAAGCTTCTGTCCAAGTTTGGTTGAAATGCAGGATAGTTTAAGAAAGTTATTAAAATTTCAAAAACTTTAACCACAAAGTGAATATTTGTGGACACCGCCGACGACGGAATGTAGGATCGCTATGTCTCGCTTTTGCGACAAAAGTCGCAGGCTCGACAAAAATGAATCCACAGTATCTTTTGTCAGTCTCTCATTAAAAATATAATTTTAACCACTTTATTGAAAAGAAATTTCAATTTAATTTAGGCATGACATATTAGGTCTATACCAGATAGAAAACTGCAACATATACACCAAATCACATTATACTATTCTTGCAACATTGGATGAAAAGAAAAATTCTGCAAATCCTTTTTTTATTTCAATTTAACACTAAATGTTTGAGTAATTGGCTTTCAAATTGACACCATCAGCATCTCTAGTTATCAAATGTCTCAATCATACACATCTGATGAAGATTGGAAGTTATCAAGCTATATATTAGATACCCTATATATCAAAATAATTGGCTATCAGTTACTCATGTAACTTCTATAATCAATAAACTTTGCCAAAATTACTTTCATTCCCCCAATTTAAAATTAATCTATGTGTAACTTTCTAACAATGTGCAAAACCTAACATAAGGAAATAATTAAAAATGTTAAAGCATAAACTGCTGCATATTTCTGAAGTACATTCCTAAATGAAAAATAATTAAGACAGCCCCCCCCCCCCCCCAATGGAGCTATATAATTGGTTAATGCATAAACTTTTTACAATTTAAAGTCCCATTCCTAATGTTCTCTTGCCATTGTCACCGACCGTGCAAGGGCTGTATAGCCAGTCAAGGTGGTTAAAAACTTCCATATATATTCTCTTGCCATTGGGTATCTTAATCCTTTAATGTATTGTCTTTTTCTATTTTTGTAACTGAGCAGTCTAGTATTGTCTTTGTGACTGCAGACAAATTTAACATAATTGTTTTACTACATTGTGATCCGTACTACAATCACACATTACTGTTAATTCTTAAAATCTGGATTCCAGTAAATATTGGTATTAATGAATTTAATCTTTATACATGTTCACATACTTAGAACTTCAAGTTTGTAGGTGAAATTCAATTTTCCAAGTTCATTCTCAACAACACAGGTATAGTTGCCTTCATCAGATTTCAGAAGTCTATCGATCTTTAGTTGATATTCTCGAACATTGTACTGAAAAACAAAGAAAATCTTCCAAATGTGTTTAAAACAAATTATTCATTCTATCAAGCATAAAATAGCTTCTCAAGAGGATAATCTACTGATATACACAAACATTTTCTTTCAACTAATTTTTACATACCGGGTAGTAGAATTTGTTAAGTGATTGGGGTAAAATAAAAGAATAAACATGTGCAAATATTTTGTATTTTACATCTGAAGATCAACAATGGTCTTTATTAGCAGTTACTTCTTTTCAATAATTTTCTTTAAATCTGTTAATCAATTTTTAAATTTCATTAGCTTTGCATCTAGTTTCATTTAGTATTAAAATTATAATCACTTATTTCAACCTATTATAAAATTACCATTTTTAAAAAGCACACAACCATTATTCCTGAAGGAAGAATGACCTGCCCCTCATTGAATCCCCCTATTAAACAAATTAAAGCCACATTTCCTTAGTTAACCCTCAGAAGAATGCACTATGTAGAAGATTTAGAACTAAGACTGTGCGGATTATAGTACATCTATCAGTACTGCCATATGGCTTGAATAAAATTGTTTATATGTGGATATAACATTGTTTATAAATCCTGCACCTCTTTACTCTAGTCATCACATTTTTCAAATTATAATTTCTTGTCTCATATCAAAGGAATTCTGAAGAGCAGGCTCATCAGACAGGACAGACTGACTGTGTCTGGTAGAAGCATATAAAAGCAAGCTGTTTCTGTTTACCATTTATGATAAAAGTCAACAGTCATGGCCAATGTTGTTACTTGTGCTTGGCTTGTGGCAGAAGTTATATTTTATATGAGGTGAATATAATGTAGGTTATAAACATTTTAATGTTTTTTTTTTAAATTACAACACAGTATTCCATAGTAAACTGTCAGGTCATTAGTTTTCTTGTTTGAATTGTTTTACATTTGTCATTTCAGAGCCTTTTATAACTGACCATGTGGTATGGGTTTTGCTCATTGTTGAAGGCTGTACATTTGGTCTCTGGTGTAGAGTTGTCATTGGCAATTATACCACATCTTATTTTCATGATCAAATTAAAATTTAAAATCAATTTCTCTTCTCACATAGAGTATACTTTGTAGATCTAACTACTGCACTGTATATAGGTAGCATTAATCCCTTCTCTATTAAACAGACTTTTAAAACAACATTGTTGCCTACCCGTCCTCCTGTGACACCAGGGTCAATGAACTGTTTGTCCTTATACCACTGAATTGTAGGTTTGGGTTTTCCACAAGCAACACATTTGATTTCCACTGGAGACATTTCTGGTCTGGCAATCCACTCGCCATTGGTTTTGTCTTTAAAAACTGGTGGACCTGTAATTCACATAGACTAGTTAGATCTTATCCAAGGAATACAGTTTCAAAAAGCTGTCCTGGTAAATATTTACATGCTCTGCCAGTGTAGCTTTAATTAGGGTTTTAATAAATTAGTTTATAATACCAATAATCCATTGACCATATGCATCCATGTTAAAAATAATAAAATTGGATAATTTTTTTCTATTTATTGTTTTTTGCTCAGCTAAATCATCAACAAAATATCCAACATCTTTTTTGTTACCATGAGTTATCTCCCATACTCAATTGAACAAAAATATGACATCAGTTGCAATTTAACTTTTTAAAAATATCTACTGTAATTTTGCACACACAAAAAAATAATTCTAGGCTTTATATTTATCTTCTTATCTGTTGATTCATTGTAAAAATCATGATTTGTGTGTTCATCAATCATAAGTTCAGATGTTCCAGGGCTTTTTATAATAGCAAGGATTTGTATAGTTATATCCTTGATAATAGTAAGAAAATTATAAAAATTGGAAAATAGTTATATTTTGTTGGAAACTTAATAAATCTGCTCAGTGTGGTTTCTCTATCATTACCAATCCTATTAATTGCTGCAATTTTGATGTAATACAGAAAATTGGATTAGTCAGAAGCCACATACCCATATGGTTCCAATCATAACCAATTAAAAATCCATTACCAAGTCAAAAGATGACATATTCCAAAAACTTGTCATTCTTGTTTACCATGATTACTTCATCCAAAGTCACCACATTTTTTTTTACATTTTGATTTTTTTCTTTCCATTTTTTTTTCTTCTAATATTAAGCAGACAAAGATGAGACTAAAAAATCAAAAAAGATGAAAGGTGATTGTAAATCTGATTTATCTTTTCTCTGCAGGAAACCTTTATACATCAATCCACATGGCTATATTCAATTTGTAATTTATTAAGCAGAATTTATAAGAAAATGGGATTAACATATGATTTGGGGTCAAAGGTCTTTATAAAAGGGCCATGTGTTTGTTCTAACAGCAGGAAGCAGGCTGGCATATACTGTATATAACAGACAAGTGGCTGATCAGGTGAAAAATATGTTGCCAAATCCATATTGTACTTAAAATATAACATGCAACCTAGATATTAATAACTAGTTAGGGACTTACAAAAAGCTTAACCTTTTAAATCATTTTTAAAACCCCATTTATAGTAATTTGAATATTCATAGCTTATTTATACTGATTTGATAGGTTGTGTAACTAGTAAATTTGCATGGAGATATTGCTAAAGCTGAAAGCACTTAATACTGGTAAATTGACACATGTTTACAACATCTAAATTGTAAAATGTACCCAGCATTTAGTTTCATCACATAAAAGCAATGGGCTTCAATAAATAAATCCAAAATTTTACATCAATAAACAAATAAATCTATAATTTTATGCTTACTGATTCTACTTTGATCAAATAAATTTAAAACAAATAAATACTTATTCAAAGTTCTAGGGTTTCAAGTACAAATTGAATAGGAGTGTAATTTCCCTTTTAAATCCCCTGAATTATATAATTTCACTGGAATTCCTGCCAACCATCTGTATTTATCACAATAGAAAGGAAGTGACTTTCATTAAAGTATCTATGATATTTACTCATCAAACACCCTTATCTGATGTCAAACTGGGCACCTCCTAGATAATTGATCCAAAAGGGACTTAACAAGTTTGTCACACTAACCAATTAATTAAACAAACCATAAGGGACATCCAGCCTCATAAAATATGGATAAGAATGCAAGTTTTAATTGTTGAGATGTTTATTTGTTTTTAATCAGAGGTATTTTGCTGTTTGGCTGGAGATTGTATTAAGTCATGACCTGTAGAAATGTTTATGTTATCACACCACGACCATACATTAAAACATTTCAAACTATTCCAACCCATTAATCATAGTTAAGAAACTGTACCTGTGTTTCTTTTATCACAAAGGGGGAAAATGCCACAATGTTTCCCTGACCTAAACTATTTTTCCAGTATTTTCTAAAAATGTCATGGTTATGTAAAGATCATTATAATTTGAACTATTAATGCCAAGTTTTAATCGGAGCTTTGCCTATTTTTTTGTAATTTACATTATATTTTGTTTTCCTAAATTAAACAATAAAACAGGCAGAAGAGAAAAAAAAAACTGCCAAAAGAAGATAAATTACACCTTATTAACAATTTTCATGCACTTTTTGAATTTACATTTTGGAAAACAATTGCATAATTTTAAATGCCCCATTTATCTTAAATGTTAATTTAAAAAAATAATGTGTGAAAGATCTTTTAACACTGACATTTACTACTCATTTAAAATTATAAAGTTATATCATTTGATTTTAAAATTGTGTTTTTGACATTTTAGTTTTCCATTTTAAAAATTTTCACATTGCCATAAGGCATTTAATTTTAACTAGACTGAACTTTGCCACCAGACTTATTCCCTGTTTCTAATAATATAGTATTTATATTGAAAAATCTAGGTCATTAACTTAGAAAATAATTCCCTCCAAATTGTCAGTGACCCAGTAGACAGGTGCCCCTATCAGATGACCAATAATAGGTTTATTTTTTAAGCTTCATTTCCATCACAAAAGATTTCACATAAAGGTCATATTTCTATAATAAACAAGGTACTTCTTGGTACAATTTAATAAGTCTCTACTCTGTACTTTATTAAACCTTGAAAAACATTAATTTATATATAAAAAATTCATTTTAAACAGAACCTCCTTACATTGATCAAAAGAACCATGAACTAAAACAAAGAAAAAACATTACTGGAGGCATAATTTCACAAAACCTGCAAAATGAAGAAGCTGAAAAACAGGAAAAAGAACAGTGTTGGAAGTATGAACTCCACAAAAAATGTAACTTGTGCATGCTGAACCCAGTAGTAAATTTGGCTGCAAAGAAATAGCTAGTAGTCTGTGTTTTGTTACTGTCATGATTGCATATGCATTTGTAGTTTGACATTTGGGCTTTAACTCATTAAGCCACAGTTATCACAGACAGTCTTGTCCATTTTGGTCCTGCTGCTCAGATATTTTTTGGATTACAATACTACTGGTCTCCTGTGTTTAAGTGAAGTCTTATTTTTAGAAACATGCCTTGTGCATTGCAATGGGTGTCATACATTTTTATCATTTTTAGTTTGCCCTCCCAATGAAGAATAATTTTAATGGGATAACGCAACAGAGCATAATCGTTTTTTAATTCAGATACCAATTTACAAAAGCTATTGACAGCAGCCATCGCTAAGCTGGATGTCAACTTTCATCACAGTTTTGTTACACTGGGTTTGCACTATGCCAACTCTCTATCATGAACAAGCCATTTTCACTGCTGCAATTTATAGTAAGGTTAATTCCAGGCTAATCTATTGCTAGTTAATTTAATTATGCTATCATATATATTTGTCTGTGCACCTTGTAATTCCCTGTTGGCACCAACAATGTGTTTATCTCTCTTCATTAATTATGGATTAGAATGATGTAAATAAATATGACTTGAGATGTTGTATAACAAATTTGTGTACATGTGGACCCACTTATCTGAAATGCTTGGTATTTAATTTTATCTCTACCAGTAACACTAGGTGATGAATTAACAGAAAATGTTCTTTGGTACAATTTACCAACTTTCCCAGGGAGTCAAATACTTTTACAAATTTCTTTGTTTTGCTGTCTTAGAATATTAACATTTTGATAGTACAAGCAGACTGAGATTTACACAATGATTGAATTAAATCGTTCTTTTCATTTCTAAATGCTGGTCAAATTTTTCCCTCTTCAATTTTTTACACCTGATGATTATAAGGCCTTGTTTTATTGCCAAGTGAAAACAACCATTAAACATGTTAAAATACTTTAATCTGTGTGTCCTTTCCCCTTATCAAAAACGATAACCTTATGACTGCTATTTAGATACAACATGCAAAACAAAATCAGATTTTTGTTTCAAGTCTTGTTTTTAAAGCCTAAGTTCATTTCAATGCCAATATATCAAAAATAAACTAGAGCATACAACAGCTTGCGTTAATTCCATTCTCATAGTGCCAAAAGTATTGAAACTGGCATACTTTATCGAACAAGAAGTGGTATTTGATTGAAAGCTTAGAATTCAATTTATGTATATATTTGTAAAAAATAGGTGTACAATGGATTTTTAATACAGTACGTACTTACGCAACATTTAACATTTCTCATTGTTTTTGCTTCAGTAGTAATATTGTTGGGACAAATATTCATGGGTTCATGATTAACATTGATTTGTTGTTATATCTAGTAGTTTTGCTAAATATCTTTATAAGGTGATGGAAATATATTACACTGGCCAGGAAGAAATTCTATGTTCACTTTCTTAATTGTAAAGGTCTCTATAGGTGGAATAAAGTTTTCTTGTCCACATAAAAACCAAGTCCATTGGATAGTTACCAACAGATTATGAAGTAAATCGTATCAAATAAGAGACCAGCAAACAAGCTTCATTCCGACCAAAATCCATTTAAGAAAGAGGCGATTTTTCTTTTTCAAGAAAACTGTTCTTTATAATAGTAGTATTCAATCAAATAAGAAATATATACTTGTTGTAACACAACCATAAAGTCATCTAGCTAAAACATGAAAAGATGTATAGGCAAAAAATGCTTATAATTTGCGTAAATCTTAATGAAAACTGACAAGTGGAGAAAATAAAAGATTATGAATTATGGCAGGAAATATGACAGTTTAAAAATAAGGTTGTGAGATAAATAGAGGGTTATCTTTTTCATGTCAACATAAATCTACATCTATATACCTATAATGTATATACAGATGGTACTGATTGTGTAAGACAAAGACAAACTACTCTGACTTTATTAACTATAGCCTGTTTGATTGGAGTATCTACAATATTTATAGTTACAAAAGTAGTGTTTATGAAATACTTCAGTATTGAAAAAATTCCTCTCTTCCATTTTTTTTAATCTTTCTGTACTGTAGTTTTTTATTTTTGTTTATTTGCTGAGCACTGATGTTTAAATCTGCCTTAATGACACTATCCAGATCAAGTTTAGACTTCCAAAAATACTCTGGTATTCATCCCAATACTTAATAATGAGGTACAAAAATGTATACTGAATATTGTTTCTTTTTTCCAAGAACTATCACACGTCTATCAGATTCAACATATAGAATAAGTAAAAACCGTGGAAGGAACCAGAACCTTACAGGACCAAATGATTTATAATCACAGAAGACCCTAGGAAACTTAAGAGAACAGATGTTCACCATAACAGTGTGGCCTTTTCATCTTGATTTGTACAAAGCAGTCATCATACATGTTAATCTTGATTGGTCTAGAGAGTTACTAGTTTCTGAACACAATATTTACCTTCTTGACATTTGCCATCAGGATCATCATATTCTACCTCATCGTAATCCTCAACTTCTTCTTCTACAAAATACAATACACAATGAATATATAGCAGCAATATTTGGTGTATTTTCAGTTTATTTATCAGGAATGTTGTTCCTTTTTTTAAACTTCCTGAAAAAGTATGCTATACATTGAAAGTTTATGTGTACTTATACAAGAGGCACTGAATTCCATAGTAAATAGTTGGTAAATAGTCAAATGTTTATATGACTACCTTGTGTATCAAGAGAGTCTTAGCTTTTTTTTTATATATTTGCTTAGTATTTTGTTTTTTCAAAGCGCATAACTAAAGTCCTTTCAATTACAGAAGAATCTTACAATATTGCAATTTAGTACATATACAACAGAATTTCGTGTAACAAGCAACACGATATGACAGCGGTTGTCAGACTGCTATTAAAAGGATATATGTCTCATTGACAGATATATAAATACATTGTAACTGAAGTTAAAATCTTGTGATGTACGTGTATTATTACATGTACTTTATGTGATATTAAAAAACTATCCATCAAATAAAGAGATGTTTTTTAGTTTAGTTTTCATTTGTTTTGAAAATGTACATTAGCACCGCATGGCTGTAGAAAGGTGTCAGAATAGGAATTAGATTAATTCTGACTGAGTATTGACCTATAGAATTTTAACTGACCATCAACTTCTGTAGTCCATGGCAGATGATTTGATTTAATCTTGAGGTCAAGGTTCAAATCAAAGGCATTTCATGTCTGGACCAGAAACCCTTTTGTTCCTTTAATACAGTGCATCTTTTAATGGCTTATTGAAATTTAAAAGGTTTTCACCTTGGGGCCAAGTCATAAAAATGAAAAGAAACTATGCAGTGAAAAAGTTTTGTTTTCATAGCCAGCTGCAATGTAACAAGACCAGGGTGACACAAATATTTACCTGTTTTTTTAACGGACACAGGTGAAAATTTGAAATGTTTGTTACAAAGATTTGAATTAAATAAATTGAAATCCACATTTTTGGAAAGGTCAGTCTTTGATAGGGCAATTTTGTGACAAACCTTTTTGTATACTTTCATTTCTCAAATTTCTTCATTTATACAGAATTGAATGCATGACAGGATGAAACCACAAAAAAAGAAACAAACTGTAAATCTAGTATACAAATGATGAAGCTATTAAAAAAGTATCTGAGATGTTGAAATATCTGTTTGAATTTAATACAAAGACTTATTTAAGCAGATTTATTAACAGCAACTTTTTTTTGTGATTTGAAGCATTATGGCCAGAAGGTACACTTAGTATCTAGGTAAATTGTTATAAAAATATATCATTATTATATTTCAGAAGTACAACTGCAAGTGATCTTTTTTCTATGAAGTCCATTTTTCTAACTGGACCATGTTTAGTTCATTGTTTTAGTCTGTCTTTGTGTTTCTGTCAGACTGACATGTACAGTGCTTTGGTCTGGTCTGGTGTACTGTCATATATTTTTGGTAATTCCTTTTTATGTAGTATTAGCTACATGTATGTAAATATCAAAAATTTCTTGCATACCAATACTGCTAGCCATCTTCAATTCTTAAAAATGGGTTTATCAAATATATATATATATCCTAGTTTCTTGACCATTCTGTATCAATAATATTTCATAATTGCCAAGTATCATAAACAGACAGCTCTTTGACAGGTCAATTTGTCACAAATGGCTAAGTTCTTTATTGCTTATTGATCTAAATGATAAAATTGCATTGTGGTGGTGGAGAAACAATATTATGATGTACTGGATGTTTTGAAAAGCCCACACAATTTTAGAATCCTTAAACATATATTGGATATTTTTACAAATTTTGTATTTAATTTGCCAAAGCTTTATTAAAATTGAAATTGTTTAATTTCTTTATCAAAAATTATCCTAGCACTGCAATTGATCAAAGCAAAAGTTTTACTTGACAAACAAACGAGGGGATGAAGGAAAATGATTTTCTTTGGTATTTGATGGGTTCACCAGAATTTGCTCAAAGGTAGAAAATCACTAATATTCAAAACATATATATATATTCAAAATATGCACAGAATCTGAAGAACTGAAAGTATTAATTACCCGTCAACACTTTCACAGTAAAGTTAATCCATAAATCACCAAGTCCATTTTCTGCATGACAGTAGTAAGTTCCAGAATCGTTCTTTTCCACTGGATCAATTGTTAATGCATTTCTTCCAAACTTATACCTGCAAAACAATTATATTTTTAAATTTCAGATTTTACCAATAAAAATATAGAAATTCATTCTACAAATAAAGTTAAAAGAACCAAAAGGTTTTACCAATTTTGAAAAATCAACTACATACTTTTTGACGAAAAATACACTTGAACAGTGTTTTCATAAGGGAATAGTTTCATATTTTCTTACCACATCAGAATAGGATTTCTCGAAGGTTTTGAAATACATTTGGTTCATACTAATATAATAAATTTCTGCAAATAGATGGTATTTAAAATTTCTGCTATACTAGGACATGAAGGATGCTATTACAGCAACTGTAGATATTGTAATTTACTCTTAAACGAAGGTTTTATAATTCAAGTGAAGATTTTCACACCAATTTCATGGAAACCTGTTTTATCTAATTGCCATTTACCATGATTTATTGACAACAAAAGGTATTGCAACTGCTGTATACACACTAATATAGTAATGAATAATATTAACAATATATTAAGCTCATTTTTATACTTTTCGAAACATGATTTTCTCCATGTTACATTATAATATATTTCTGGTATAAATTGTTTTGTCATTTCAAACATTTTTACCTTTCACATTTCCTGACACATGTACTTTTATTTGAAGGAAAATAATACATTAATGAAAGTTTTGTAAAAACAAAGAAATGTAAATTCACATCTAATTAATTTTCAGTTTCTACCTGTAAATGATTTTTACTTTATTTAACTGATGAAGTACAAAAAAAGTTCTTTATTGACATTAACAAAGAATGCTATTATTTCCTCCTCTGCAATCCTAAGGGGTTGGGGGGGGGTTTGGGTTAAAGTGGGGTTTTTCATCATGTTCATTTTATATTTGTATAAATTTATAATGTGCATGAAAAAGAAAGGATAGTATATCTTGTTCAATCTTTAATGGCACAAAATCCAAAGAAGGGACCAGCTTGAATTGCTGTTCTTCACGTGTAAGTCCCATGGCGAAAATACTGACACCAGTAACCTGCTGAAGGTAGAGAATCTGCAAAGAATTATTTATTTGTTAGGGAATATCCATACCTAATAATTCAAAATCACAAAAGTTTTCATAACTAAGTGTGCTAATTGACCTACCTGTTATCATCCTTTGTAGACAGTGGCCGCTGGTCTTTATGCCATATTTTGAAAGGTTTTGGATAGCCTATTACTTTACAAGGCAGTTTTAATCTATCTCCTACTAACGAAGCTAAGTTCTGTCGAAAGTCAATGTCTGCAATTTTTGGAGCACCTAGGAAATATCATATTCAAATTTTTAAGTAAAACTCTCATAAAAAAGTACATCATGAAAAAAAAAAATGTGCGAGGTACATGTATAAGCATACACAATGACACTATAAGAAACAAGATATGATTTGTAGTACATTTGTACAATAATTCTGTAAAAGAAAGTTTATTTAGTGTTCATAAAATCAGTTGTTTCAAATACATTTTTTATGACATTTGCTGAAAATGTGGGACTAATACATCTGTTGGTTCCAGGTTTGATGTACATTTCATTAAATTAATGGCCATTTTTACATGAACTTTTACAATACTTTATATTAAAGGATCAAAGCATTAGTCTCTTTTGTTACTCAGTTCATTTGAAAATGACAAATCTATTTTCTCATTTTTTTTATTTTCCAGTTCAACTGAAAATTCTGAGGAAATTGTAACTGAAATCTTTCACTCTTTTACTACAAAATAAATTTGATTCCTAAAAAGTACATATACATTTGTGTATATCCTATTATTTGATTGTTTACAATGTGTTTGAAAGAGCATTATTTCCATAAGATGACAACTTTTAAAATTATACAAGGAAAATTAAACTGAAATTGGTAAAATTTTCCAAAATGGAGAAGTGTTATACATGTACTTAAAAAAAGTGGTCAGTTGTACAATAATAAGTAATGCATCTATATTGTACATGTACCTCATATACAGGTACAATGTACATGTATAATATATGGAAAAAAATAATGTAAAAACAAAATTACCAAACTCCAAGATAATAAAGTGACATATTTCTATAAATATAGATATGATGAAATAGTGAAAAACTTACTCTTGTTCTTATTGTTATCTTTTTGTCTGCTTCCTGCTACACAAAATGATATTCCCAGAAAATAACAAACAATGATAACACTCCAATTTACTCCCATAATAAAATTCCACACATTTAAAAGAATTCATAAAACACACAATTCACTATAATCCTCTTCCACATTTTGTTTTAACTTTTAGTCTGAAATAATAGAATTTAATATAATATAAAAAATAAAATCATTCAATGAGTAATGATTTTCAATGTACAACTCATATACAATGCACATAAACTTTTCCTTTCTCTCTTTTTTACTTGTATGATTTATACAGCTGTCAAACTTTTTTGTTTTTAATTTCACAAATTAAACTTTAGATGAAGTATATCCAGATGTTCTAGATGAAATTTAATACTGTTATAAATCAGGACTGAAGCATATATTTGATATCAGATTTTCCATTCAATCTAGCACCAATGCCTTTAAATAGGAGTAAGACCAAGCCTTTCTGATAGCTTAATATTTTTTGCGTCAGTATAAAATTATTCAATAATATAAATATTTACTTGTAGTAAAGAAAGAATGTTGTATTTTTTTTCGTTTTTACAAGATATGTATTGATTTTGCAATTTTATTACCAACTGTTGCAGCATTGTCATCAAACAATGGAATCTTTAATCACTGGGAACATCCCTCCATACTTTCTTTTTTTTTAGATACAAATACAATCAGAAAATACACTTTTATATCACAGATAAACTTAACTACCTGTACAGAAAAAAAACGCGGGTAACGAATATTTTACATGGGTTTTCAACACTGTTCTTTCTACATCCCTTTGTGCATTCGATAAAATCATTAAATTTAAATTCCGCATTTTTGTTGCAATCATGTCCTTGGCTTTGCGCAAAAAATTATTAAAAAATGTTTTGTTTACATGAAATGTCATTTCACAGTAAAATTGCATATAAAAAAAGTTTCATAACTCACCATAAAAATTGTTATTCCCACACAAATTAATTAAGTTTTACATCCCAATAGATTAATAACGAGAATTATTTGTAGGAACTCTAAAATTGCACGGTTTACTCCAAGCCAACGACTTACACTCTATGATCGTAACCACGTGATCTAATACTGTTCAAAATTGGCAGGTGCTACCACGTGACCACACATCTTCGCATTTTACAATTATAAACAGGAAATTCTTTCTTTACAAAAAATATAATATTTTTGATCAGATTACAGCAGAGAAATCGCCTCTGGAATATATATTCGCCTTTCTTTCAATATTCAGTAAATAGAGATCAATTTAGCTGTTTACATACTTTTTGACAAATTGTCTATCAAAATTACGACCTTATAACTGTCGCGCAAAAAGACTTAATTAATAACAATGTGTCACGACTTTTGTCATTAAAAATTTAAAAAAAGATCATGAGTATATAATTTTTTTATCTGACGTTTTCAATTTTCAACGAAAATGTAAATCAAAGACGTGTTTGTAAATTAATTCAGATTGTTATAATCCGATGCTTTAAATTTCGTATATGATTTCCGCGTGCAATTACGCACATACAACATAATTGTACCAAAATTTAATACTGTCATAGTACATGGAGAAAGTCAGATATTACCTTACTTACATTCAGATCCTAGAAAACATTCAACGAAACAAATCCGTTGCTACTTTTAATTTAATTGAACCAATTAAATTATTTTAGATTATGAATTTTAAAAACTTGGAAGAGATGGGCACCTTTTATATAGGTATAACTAATTAACTTTGATATATATATTCGTAAAAGTAATACTGTTTTGAATTCACATGTGCTTCTTTATAAGAAGGACCCACCAAGGATGCTAATATGTTCTAGTGTAACATTTTTTAAAAATTTTCTTGATCACCAGGGACGTTTATAGACTAGAGACACGTATATTTTGTATTATATGTCTCTGTCAAAATGGAGTCCTTCAGCTGAATTGGGAATGAAATTAAGTGTTGCTAATATTACAATTTTAAATACATTTCATTTCTGAATTCATTTATTGTTCTTTGTTGAACCCCTTGATCCTTTCTTTGGCTTTACCAGAGACATATAATACAAAAAAGGTTTATGTATGATAATATTTCAGTTTCCTAACTTGAATACTGAACAAAGATTTCAAGAATATTGTCTATCTTCCAAATTCAATAAGAAGACCTTTCAGGTTCTAATTGAAAAAAAAAAATATTCACATGTTCCACATTTTTTCTTAAAATCTTGGAAAATTCCTGATTTCTATTTATCTACATGAAGGTTCATTAAGGTTCTTCAAAATACACATTTTCTCAATTGTTGCCAGAATCACATATGATCACCTATATGCATTGCTAAAATTTCAGGCTGCCCCTCCATCAATTAAAATCATCTTAAATTGGACATTTTTATGACAGATATTTGTTAATACTTCTTTGTTTTATTTTCAGATGTATTGCTTCTATGAACTCATCATGAGGATTCAACCAACTTGTTTTTATTTGTTCTTTTCATCCTCTCCTTCAGCATGGTATCTTCTAAATAGTTAGAAGGATCACAACTAGCGGCCTCTCTAAAGAGCCTGTGTCCCTCACCTGTTACTAATGTGCATCTTCAACAACACCCACTTTCCACAACATTGTAGACTTGAATATAATTCATGACTATTAAAATCTGTTCTTTTCAGTTTTGTAAATCTTGTTATTGCTGATCATTTTTTCTTTTTACAGTTTCTCTCTATCTACTATAATTTTTCCTAAAACACATTTGGTAAAAAAAAAGAATAAAAATTGTCAACTAAGGACAATTACTCATATAAGGAGTCCGGGGCATCAGTGGCTGAGTCCTACCTATGTAATTCATCTACAGTAATAACAAGCCTGTCAACAGTGAGGTTGTGAGTTGGAACCCTGCTCATGGCAGGTGCATTCAACTCTTATCTTAATTGATGAGGATTGCCAGATAACAACTTGCTGCCACCATATAGCCAAGAGTGCTGAAAGTGGTGTTAAATACCAACAATCAATCAATCAACCTTTAAGGAGTCAACTGACAATGCTGACTTTTTTTGTAGATTTTGTCTTGCTCTTCATTTTATTAGTTTACAGTTGTTTATTATGTTCTATAGTTAATTAGGGTAGAAAATGCAAATATGGGCAAAATCATCATGCAAGGGCAATAACTCCTATAAGAAGTTGACTGACAATTTCGGCAATGTTGACCTATTTGTACATCTTGATTTGCTGCTCATTTTTGCTGTTTACTGTTTTTTTCTATATCTACTATTGTATTACAAAAAATACAAAAATGACTAAAATTCATCATTCAAGGGCAATAACTCCTATGAGGTGTTGACAAACTATTTCAGCATTTGAACAAATTTGTAAAAGTAGCCCTGCTGATTAATTTTTGCCATTTAAAATTTCTCTCTATCTACTTGCGTTTTCAAGATAATAGGCAAAAATGCAAAAAATTGGTAAAATTTGTCATTTAAGGACAATAACTCCTATAAGGAATCGTCTGACAGTTTTAATGTAAATGGTCAATAGGTAAATCTCATCTTTCTAAACATTTCTGCCCCTGTCAAAGCAATTTTCAAGATAATAGGCAAAACATGCATATTACCCCTATGTTCTATTTTTAGCCATATGAGGCATCTTGGTTGGCAGGGGGATTCATAGGAGACAATTTTAAACTAGATACTACAATGATGATTGTGGCCAAGTTTGGTAAAATTTGGTTTAGTAGTTTCAGAGGAGAAGATTTTTTATAAAATTTAACGGACAAAGACTTTGTCAATGACAGATGCCATGTGATGAAAAAAGCTCACTTGGAACTTTGGGCCAGATCAGCTTATGGTATTTTTGAAGATAAACATTAATTCGCTGATTAACAGTTTGAAGCAATACTAAAATGTGTCTTTTCTATTCTGCACTGAAAATTTGAACTGTTAGTTCTGAGAATTGCACAAGACCATCTCATCAGGTTTCATTCATGGCATTGTTGTAAGAAACTATTTCATGAAGTACAGCATGCAATATTAAGAGTGAAAGAAGGCACCATTTTATTTTAGTCATACTTTGAGCTTTCTTTCAAAACTGCATGAATTCTTTGAAACAGTATTTTTTTTAATCTTTATAATTTGTGTTTTTGTTATCTATTATAATAGATTCTGAATGTGTGTGATAACAAACAAGAGGCTCTAAAGAACCTGTGTCTCTTACCTGCATCTTCAACAATGCCACTTTTCAGTAAAAATCATCATAAATGAAATTAACTCTATTAATAGTTTAATGACAATTTCAGTCATGTTAAAATATTTGTAGATCTTATCCTGCTCATCATTTTTCCCTTTTATAATTTTCTATTTATCTATTATAGTTTTCAAGATAATGGTAAAAAAATGCAAAAAAAATGGTAAAAATTATCATTAAAGGGTTTAATGACGATAAAGAGTTACCGTAAATGACAATTTCATTCATGTTGACATATTTGTAGATCTTGTCTTGTTTATCATTTTTGCTATATAAAGTTTCTATTCATCTATTATAGTTTTCAAGATAATAGGCAAAAATTGTGAAAAATTGTCATTAAAGGGCAATAACTTCAACAAGGAGTCGACTAATGATTTCAGTCATGCTACTTTATATGTTAATCTTGTCTTGCTGATCATTTGTGCTATTTCAATTTTTTATCTATCATTGTAGTTTTCAAAATAGTTGGCAAAATGCAAAAAAATGGGAAAAGTTGTCATTAAAGTGCAAGAACTGCAGTAAGAGTTGACTTACGAATTTGGTCGTATCAACTTATTTGTAGATCTTGTCTTGCTGATCATTTTGCAACTTTAAGTTTCTGTCTATGATTATAAGTTTCCATATAAAAGGCAAAAAAAATAAATTGGTCAAATTCGTCGTTTAAGGGCAAAGACTCCTATAAGAAATTGTCTGACAGTTTTTTGTTCTATTTTAAGCCATGTCGCCCATGTTTGTAGGCAGGCAGGATCATCGGACAGAATCTTTAAACTATATACCCCATTGATGCCTGTGGCCAAGGTTGGTTAAATTTCGCCCAGAAGTTTCAGTGATTATATTTGTAAAAGTTAACAAACAACAGATGACAACAACTGAGGACAGACCCTAAGTGATGGCAAAAGCTCACATTGGCCCTTTGGGCCAGGTGAACTA